GAGGCACTGAATTGCAATCGAATTGCACGCAAATCAAAAATTGCTTTTACTGTATACTGTGTATTGGATCATTTAATTGGCCATGCACCTCTGTACTGTTGGTAATTTCATGTATTACTAATAGAGCAAATAACATATTTATTTTTCTCATACATGTATCCCTGTGAGTACTCCACTACGTCTTCACTGAATTCAGATTTAGAATACCTGTCTGTTTGGATTACACAATTACGCTGTATATTGGTAGAAGGCGTCAAATTTAATAGCATAATTATCTGTATGGATGGTAATACCATTGATGTAAACATTTAGGGGGTTACTCACACTGGGAGAGCAGTGAATGTGGTAATAAATAAATAAAAAATCAATCAATTATTTTAATTAATTAATAAAATACTATAGTTCCTGACATTGTATTTACGTTACTTGTACATTTATGTCTTGAGTAGTAGGGTGGCTATAATACCGTTTTGTCTCTATTAAAAATGCATCTCAAATAAAAACACAATCACATAAACACAAAATTGTATTCAGTGTATGCTAAATCATTAAAATAAGACTTAGGACATAAACGTACATCTTTCATTTACATGTACACTACTAATAAAGCAGTATGCAAATTGATTATAATGAAATAATTCAACTCTAATTTCAGAGACTTATACGGAATGTACATCTACTAGATAAGTTAGTAGCGAGAGAAAAATTGACATGTCTTGTTGTTAATTTGTATCCTGACAATGAAGGGTATTCATTAATGCTAAAGGGTAAGAATGGTTCTGGTAAGTACACCAATTTATTCGTTCGCTTTGTGTTTTCGCTGCTTGATTATCTCAGTTATTTCGTTTTTTATTCTGCCCAAGCTACGCTTATTCATTAACGATTACATATTCATTATTGCAATAACAATTAAGGAGTTATTTTTCTAAATTCTTGATAAATTACACATTTTCACATTCAATTTAGCAAAACACAGACTTTCGACTTTTTCCATTCAACTGTAAATCAAAGTTATTTTGACAACAACCACAATGCACCTGAACTATGCACTATACACCTTTTTTGTTTTTTGCTGATTTCAGATTCAGAAACAATTCGACTTCCATATGAGGTAAGGAGTCATCATTTATTAATAATCCTCTTGTCTCACATATTGACTAAACCCCCCCCCCCCCCAATTGATACATCCTGACCAATGGGTCACATGACCAAAGTGATATCATGTGCCTTTGCATACCAATTGACAGTCAGTTTTTAGCTGTCAACTTCATAAGGGGAGCTACATGTACTGGTAATAATATTACAGATTGGATTGACTTTCTTTAATTCTCTAATTGAAATGTTCATTGCTTATATCAAAGCTATCTCAGCCAAGAGGCTGCTTGTTTTTTATTCAATTCTCAAACTAACTGTGAAACTGATGCACACATAATGCTTTTCTTGTCACTTTGTTATTTGATTCACTAACTGATGTTTTTCCTTTTTTTATCGATAGGAATCTGAATTGTTGGATTACTTGGATTCTGAACAGGTAAGTGAACAGTTGTGTTGCTGTAATTTATTCTGACATCTAAATGAGTCTGTATGAGGGATGTGAATGAACAAAAGGTTTGATTGTTTAAAAAAATATGAGAGCTCTATTCCATTGTGCATTTAGTTGACAGGTGTAGTAACTGAACATTTAGCCCACCAACCTATAAAAAAGTTGTTAATCAAAAAATATGAACGTATAAATCACAAACTAGACACCGTAAGAGGTACTGATATAAAGCCAGCCACATAGCAATCTGTCCTCCTATATTGGCCATTTTATTGTGAATAAACAATATGATATATTAACCTGGGCATGGAACATTAGTTAGTGGTCACCTTGCTTCAAGGTGGTTGTTGGTTTGATCTTCCAGGTGACTGTTTACAGTATATTTTGCCTGTACCACCACAATACACGGCATTAGTTTAGGAGGATGTGCTAAGAG